TGGCATACATTCAGGCGCATCGCCTAGTGTTGGCTCATTTCGCATGCAAATTGCTTTCATAGATACAGCGACCGCTTGCACGCTGGTTTTTCACGTTGTTGTTCATGCTGCTGTTGTTGCTGCAGCCTTTGTTGTTGTTGTTGTTGTTGTCGTTGTTGCTGTTGCAGTGGCTGCTGACACTATCATCGGTTGCTGGTGTGGCATACCAAATCTGCATTTATTAACATCTATTACAAGTTGCGGCAGGTCAAGAGTGTCAGAGCGTCAAGTGTGCCTAAAAATATGCAACACCACACAAATCGTTTCAATTATGCAAAGTGCCTAGCAACGATTTAAATCTGAATTATTCTCTCTTTCTAACTTTTTGCACGCATTGTTGTCGTTAAATGCATTTTAAAGCCAATTTTGCTGAGAATAATTAGCTGAGATTACTTTAAAGCGGCCACTATTGAACGCTGCGTTAAATTTGCGTTAACTTGCGGAATTTAAGACTCAAAAATTTCTCGAGTTGTGTCTCATCTAGTTTTGAGCTCGTTTCCTGAAGATGATATCAGTTAAGTGGCCGTTTCCATTATTACCATTATTATTGACCCATCTTTTGACATTTTCCTGGGTTTTTTGCAACACCTCTGACGCTAAATTCGGGATTTCTCCCAAATAGCTCCTAAGTTCTGGGTATTCTTCACATAAACCCGTAGCTTCAAAAAAAAATCCCTACAGAAAGTAGTGTAGGATGGTTATATTATTTATCTTGCCGGGCAGTTACCAAACGGCGATGAAACGTCGGCCTCAGGATGTGCATTGTGTCGTCTACAGTTGAAACGACCTGCTGGAACGATATGCTCTTCAGTCCCAATCCATTCAATTGTGGTCTGAGGAACTCAATAATCATGGCTTTGCACCTCTCACCCTTTACAGTAATTGTTTGTCCTGCCAATCCTCTAAAAAAAACACAGTGGACAGTTGACACCTGCAGAGTAAACTTCACACCATACATATAGGGATACGGGGATACTCAGGGTCCAAACAACGAAATTCGTTTTTCTCGTCTCCACAAAGATAGAGATGGACCTGATCACTCATGATGCGTTCTCACAAAATATAAGGGCACCCCATAATTAAGAATGAGTCCAGCAAGAATATTAATATGTCTCTACTGGTCATAGCTTCTGAACTATCTGCACTTTTTAAGGGTACATTTTCAAATTCGTATTCCAAATGCGCTGGAGACGGCCATGGTTTTAACTCTTTCACCTTATTTTGAGACAAATAAACGAAATTACGGGCAGAACGAGCAGTTTGTGGAATTTCGAAGTGCAATAAACCTTCTTTTGATCCAGTCTCTTCAACCCGAATTGACATTAAAAAACGACGCATCTCATAAATGCACAGCTATTCAACACCATTTGCAAATATGTTTCCATTTTCCAAGAGGATAGTTAAATTTGGATCACCTTGTATACATATGTGTGACGTTCCTTTGTGCCAGCTCATTTGGAGTTTCTCTGCACTCAATGAGAGCTCTTGTAGCCGACTTCCCAACTTGAGGTCTGTTTCGGAGTCATCGATGTATAAAATGATTCGAGTCGATGTCATCTTATCTAAGCCACAAAAAGACTGTTATCATGTCACGATGACGCTCACCGTAACAGCGCCACCGGCATCATTTTCGAAAAAGTACTCCGCAAAACCAAAAAACACAACACCAATCAGTGACTCCTTTTGGGTGTATAGTTTTTTGATGTAATCTGGAGAACGAAAAACTAAAACCAAATTTGACAAGGGATGACGGAAAATCGTTCCACATTACATCACACTCCTACCTTGTCGGAAACACCAACAACGAAAATGAGAGTATAGTGTTTTCTTAAATGACATGTGGATTTTTAGTACCCCAAATGCGGCAGTTTTGCTCGTTAACGTATCCGTTTATAGGAAAATGTGCCTCATCGCTCGGATGAATATTCGTAAATCTCACTTCTTAGGGAACGACCATTTTCATAAAACGTTTGAATCATTTGTACGCGTAAATAGTTCAACTGAGTATCGCTCCTTGGCTAAGTTTGCCAAAGCCTGTAGTAGCAATTGTCTGAAAAAATTATAAAAAAAACAATAGCATATCAAAAATAATTGCGTCAAAGATCTGCGTCACCCTTGCATCTCTCTACACATATGTATATGGCCACAGAAGTAGGATACAAGATTAGATTCGACACATGCAAATCTAGTCAACTTTTCTATTTACATACATACATACATATTTATGTACATCTTAATGGCAACTCATTTGCGGAAAAAAACTTACTATTAATCCAACAGCTTTAACTTTACAAATCTCCGCTTCATAGGCGCACATTCCCGTCACCCGCTTGCAATTCGCGCTGTGTATCTTTGCCATTAAACCGCTTGGAAATCTCTCAAAATTTATGTCAGCATTGAAAATCGTATTATTGCGGCTTTACCTACTCGTGCGGCTCGCCATTTTCAGTTTAAAGAATTTTTATTTTCCGCATTTCTAAATACATTTCAAGTCGGTTAACCAGCCCTGATGGCAGCAACGAACCGCACGGTTGGCGAAGCGCTTGCAATCGGCTAATCTCCGGCTGAGGCAATGAGCCAGTGAGGAAGCAGCTGGCACGACTGTCAAGTGCAAGGGAGATTTAAATACATATTAAATAGGATGTGTGTGTGTATATGTGCTTGCTTAACAGAAACGTACTACATATGGGTCAATCCATTCAAATCGAACAAGTGTAGGATTCGACCATTTTTGGTTTGGATGGATTTTGCGCAGAGCTTTTCTTTTGTCAAATAACCAAGTTCTGTCAAGGGAAAACAATTTTTTTACAAAAGTTATGCAAAATTATAAATTTCGTAATATCTCAATATGTAACTATTATATTTACACAAATGGTTCTGGTCTTGTTATAAAAGTGATATTTACGGCTATAAACAAAAAATATATATACAAATCGAAAAATTAAAAAAATTACAAAACCCAAAAACTCATACACTTTTTTGACAAAATTTTTTTATACAATACAAACTGATCTTAAAAGATCCGGAAATCTTCAAGGAGGTGCAGTTTAATTCAGATAGTAAGAAAAAAAGTAAGTGCGCCTGGGCCACACTGTGGAAGTGAAACTTACGTTACTTATCTATCTATACATACACACATCTGCTTTTGCTTACGGTTATATTTTTACGCTTTTTTTCTATCAATGTAGATCCCTATCTCTACCACTGTTCATTTTAATAACATTCATGTTATTCTGTTTTTCCATTATCTTCATTTTATCTTTATACTCTATCGGTAACAAAATCGATGACAAATTCGATAAAAATTTCAATAGCAACATCGATAATACCATTGCTACCTAAATCGATTAGAAAATCGATAAAAAATATCGATAAAAAAATCTATAAATATCGATAAATATCGATAACAAAATCGATAACAAAATCGATAAATATCGACAACAAAATCGATAACAAAATCTATTTATATCGATAACAAAATCGATAAATATCGATAACAAAATCGATAAATATCGATAACAAAGTCGATAAATATCGATACCAAAATCGATAACAAAATTGATAAATATCGCTAACAAAGTCGATAAATATCGATAACAAAATCGATAATTATCTCTATTTTTTCGAATCGGAAAATTTTGAAATTTTGAACCTTCGAAAAAAATATGTTTTCATTTGGCAGAATTTCGTTATAAATATGATAAAAAGAAAAGTTCTGACCAAAATTTAACAGAGTCAAAAATTGTCGATTTCAGCCATGGGTCGATTTAACTTGGATTGAACCATATGTACTTTTATGTAATATTTTTGAATACCGTTTCAAATGCTGACTGCCATGCAACAAGTATAGAAAAGAGAATAGGGAAACTTTTCTGGTGGCAGCTGCTGGGGAAACCCAAAAACTAGCAGCCGGAGAGGGTGCAACAGCGTTGTGACCAAAATGATCAACTTGGAAAATATGCAGCATACAAAGGATTTGTGCTTTTTTCTACGAGATACTTACTTCCTTAAATGTCAGTTTAAATGATTACTTGCAGACTGCTTATGTACAATCACTATTTGTCGTTGACAAAAAAAAAAAAAAAACAAGGAAGGGAGGAACGAAAGCAACATGCTAACTACATGACAAATTGTTGCGCTCCGTTGCACATCGTTGGCATCTAAAGTTGTCGCTTTTGCTCCGCTTTGCTTGCTTGCTTGCTCAGTATGTATGTATGTACATAGTAGCTCCAAAGTGCGGTTGAGCGCGCTACCAAAACATTTGCATTTTGAATGCTTTGAGTTTTAAGTCCAGCAACTTTTCGTTCTTTTTAGTGCACTGGTGGCTTGCTTCTCGAAAAGCTTTCTCGCTCTCCACTAAATAAATACTAACAGCTAGCAGTGGAGTAATGAGCAGCAGGCAAAACATTCTAGCTGCTAGGGGCACAGATTATCATCGCCCACTTTCGCCAATTGCAATCAAAATTATTTACTTTCGGTTCACTAGCATGACGTCGCTTCATATTTTACTACCCTATTCGACTACAAATAAGTAACAAATAAATATTGTATATTCAAGCAATTCCCTTTCTTCCTTTTTCGTTCTTTCCATTTACATATAATATGAATTTAAGCGAATTTTAAGTGCTACTCAAGTGTTATAAATATTTTTCATCGCCTGTATCTACCCGTTGTTTTCGGCTTTTTATTCCATGGTCCTTTACTCCCANTTTTTTGTATTATTTTTCATGCTGCTTCTAGCGCTACCGTTATTTGTATGTATTTAAGCGACAGTTGCACAAATTACCATGACACTCGTTTAGTGCTGTTACAGCCACTCGGGCGTATGAGAAACATTTCCTTGTAGCGACGCTAAAGCAGTGTTACTAAATGTGTACTACTAGCACTTGTGAGCGAGCTGTTGTTGTTTTTTGTTTTTTAGATTTACGGCGAGAGGATGAGCTTCTTGGTAGTGTGATCAAAGCAGATTTAATCTAAGATAATACAGGCCGACAAGAAATCTACCAGAAACGAGAGTATAACTTTTCAAAGGTTTGATTTAAAAGATCGCCAACCAGAATTCCGGCCAGATTCTTCGCAGACAACCTTATATCCTCGGGTTCGCAATAAAATTTTCTTTATTTTGATGAAAGATTTATTTATTAAACAGATGATATGTGAAATTTACTAGTATTCAAATTCTATAGGATTTATACTTTCGATTGGTGTATAACACTAAGGAACACAAAAAAAAACCTAGAGTGCGCATATATCAGGTTTACTAGATCAATTCGTGTTCTATAGAAAAAAGGTTTTTCATGGTCCAAAAATCTGAGTGTAGTGGCCAAATTTTTTTACTCCAAATTTTGAAAATTTAGCGTTTAGGTTCCACAATGTAATTTGCTCATTAAACAAATGAATGCTAGATTCCAAAAAAATAAAAATTTTTGAATATTTAATTAAAAATTTTCGTGCCATACTTATTTTAAGTAGCGTATTCAAAGTACGAACTTTATATACTAAAAGCACTGGCGGTCACGCATAACTTACCTCCACTTATACTAAAAATATCTGTTTTTAATGTGTTCACACTTTAACAAAAGTCTCAAGCTTTGTACAAAATGTAGAAAAATACAACAAACTTTCTTAAAAATTTCGAACTTTTTGCAAAGATTTCGGGGTGCAGTTTTATTGCTCAAAATTCTTGTTGATTTTTGAATTTTTTATTTATTTATTTTTTGCTGAGCAACAATTTCATACTGAAATATTTTTGTGTAGGGTTGCTATTAAAAACTAGTAATTTAATATCTTAATTGCATAAGGGCATTCATATTTCTTTTTTCTAGCGTATTCCACTACGTTTGCTTTCACTAAATTATTATATTTGTCTTAAAAATTATTGCTGCTACTTGTGTTCACAATATAGTGCCAATTGCACAAGTACCTAGGTCACTACTGTTGTCACTGCATCCTTAGTTGTTGTTGCTACTGTGGCCAGTGGTGTTAAAAACTTGCATTAAGAGACAATAACAAACTGGCACAAGTTTGGGTGGTGCCGCAACTAAACCGTAAAGCAAACCAGTGTGCTAAATACATATTTACAGTGGCAGTCAAAAATGGATGAATGGTGTTTCGCCTTTTAATATTTACAATGTTTTTCAAGCTAAAATTTTTTTGATTTTTTTTTATAGAAATATGGTTTGTGCTTTAACAAAAACTGTATAAATCACACTTTCAAACTTTATGCAGTATTTTCATCTAAACTTCGAGCTTTTTAACCAGAATTTTTAGAATTTTTTAGAAATAATTTGGTAAATATTAAAAACGAAACACCATTCATCCATTTTTGACCGCCACTGTAACTATATACGCATGCAAGTGTCTGTATGTGCGCGTAAATTTGTTTCTTGATTAGTTTGTTTGCACATTTGTTATAGTAGTTTGCTGTTTACCGCCAAGCGCCAGCCCACTTTCGAGCCATTGTTTTTGCACGCGCAAGTTTCGCTTGACTGCAGCAACAAGAATAGAGCAAAGTTTTCCAAAAGCATGGTGCATGTATAAAAATAAATATCTATGCAAGTGCAAACATAATGTTACATACATACATACAAACATACAATATCGGTCATATTAGTAGGGCCCCCATTTAAAATTGATATTGTCTGCCACTTATGTTTATTTAATTATTATGATTTATTATTATTTTTTTATCTATTTTCTTCCACACAATGTATATTCGACAATTTTTTTTTGAATGGAATGCGTATTACAGTAAAAAAAAAGTATTTATCAAAAATCAACACGATTTTTTAGCAACACCAAACTTGCACTCTATTGTACCAATTTAATGGGCTATAAAACTGCATACTCAAAATAAATAAAAAAATTTAAAATTTCAATGCGAGTTTGCAGAATTTTCATAATTTTTGCACAAAGTTTGAAATATCAATTTATGTGGTTTTTCTTAGACTTTTATAGCAAAAATAATAAATATTAAATAATTAAAAGAAAAATAAGCTAAATTTGTTAAAATGTCGCGTTCCTATTTATTTTCCCACCATTTTATATACCTCTGTATATACGCGACGAGTAGGCCTGACAAAATTTTCCAAAACTCATTGATCGCTGTTTGAAAATGTCAGCGGTAAGGAAGCGCTGACTTTCCAATTCATGCAAGCGACCTCATGACAGCAAGTGTCGGTAATCAGTTGGACATGTTTGTATGTATGTATGTACATCCCTTGCCATCACCATTGACGCTTCATCATTAGGCATGTTTCCCTGTTGCAAATTACTTTAGAAAAGTTTTCTCAGCCCACGATTCCGCACTTTTCCGCAATAACGTTTTTAGCGCATCTCATACTTGAGCAGTTTCGCTTCGGTCAGAGGCTTAGACAAAGAAATACACACACAAGCACACAAAAAGTTCAACACAAGATATATGTACACATAGTGTGCTAGAAGTTACAATGAAGAGGATAATCACAGAGCACACTCAGCAAAACACGCATACATACATACATACATACATACATGCATACCACCCACGCATCCACTCAGCTGCATACACATTCTGAACAAGCGAGAATGAATGCACAACAACTACACAAACACTGACACACAAGTACATATTAATCTTAACTTACACATAATAACAATACTTTTCATTTTCTCTGTTTTCCGCTCGAGCCACTCTCGCACACATTTTCGCTATCTTAAGCAATGGTTTTTGTTTATAAACATTTCAAAAACTTATTCAAGTACATAGTTTTTGTTTCATTTCATTCTCTTCGCCAACTAAACGTAAACGTAACTTGGTTGTTTTGCTCTCGTTTCTCATTCAAGTTGAGTTGGTTTTATTTTCTTAGTTTTACCACTTTCTTCTATTACCCCTTTTTTAGCTGCTGCTCGCCCGCAGTGCCACAGAGTGAAAGATTTCTTTTCGTATTGTGAAATTAAAATGCGTTAAATTAATTGTTTGGTTGTTTCCACTTGGCATTATTAAATTCCTGCTGTTTGCACATATTTCTTTCGTTTACGCTGTTGCATTTACTTTTTTACACATTTTTAGTGCAAACATTTTTAGGTTTTGCGCTCGTTGTTGATATTAAATTTTCTTACAGAACTGCTATCCTATTGGCTTCGCGTAATTGAATTCTCCGGGTAATGGATTAGTAAGAAATTTATTACTTTTTAAAATATGAATTCTATCCGACCTTTGCTTATTTGTGATGTGATTTGTAGGTAAGGATGAAGGCATCGACGATGGCAGCGAAAAAACTGGCTATTACAATACCTACATACATACACTCCGATGCATTTGAATAGGGACAATGCTTTTATGCTTTCTTCTTGGCGATTTTTAATTTTCATTATTTTAACAAAAACCGTATAAATATATTTAATAAAAACCTTTCAAATATTTGACAGAAACCTCCACGTCCCAAGTTTTGCACTATAATGTATAAACGTAAGCTTCAAACTATGTAGAAAATCAAAAAATTTTCATCATAATTTCCAACTTTTTTCTTAGTGTACATAATAAAGTGCAAGTTTGAAGTACCTATAAATTACCTTTGCTTTTTTTGGCAATTTTTTACTGAACTCTTCCGCCATTTTTTCTATATCAAAAAATGCGAGCATTGAATGGGCTACAAAACTGCATACTCAAAAAAATTCCGACACCAATTTTTTTAAATTTTGATAATTTTGTTTTTTTTTTAGTTTTCTACATAGTTTGAAACTTTTGCCTTCATTCACTGTTAGGGAATGAACTGTATTTTAGGTGAAAAATAATGGAAAATAAATAAAAGAAAAATAACCCAGAAAAAAAGCGGAAAAGTATTGTTCCTATTCAAGTGAATGGGAGTGTACATCGATGACGATAACGATACTGATAACAATTATGATAATACATATACGTATGTGTAATTGAAAACTTGAGAATTTTGGAAAAACTGAAATTACTTTTTCGTATGGAATCTGGAACATTAAAACATACAATTTTCAATTTTTAGTCTGATTTTTTTTTTGAGTATGCAGTTTTATAACTCTTTAAATTTTAGTAGAATAAAGTGCAAGTTTAAAGTTCCTAAAAAATTGCGTTGGTCAAATTTAGTGCATAGCTTAGAAAAATTCTAAAAATTTCTATCTAAATTTCGAGCTCTTTAACCAGAATTTTTTTGGGTATGCAGTTAACAAGCTTATAAAATTATAGTAAAACAAGTGCAAATTATGAGCGGCTAAAAAATCGCATTGATTTTTATATATTTTTTTTTTTTTTGACGGCGTTTTGCACATTTTTTCCATATAAACATGAATTTCTTAGTGGAAGAATATGCGCAAGACCTGTTTGCGAAAAAAATATAAAAGGTAACGCAGTTTACTAGATTCGCTATTTATATGAAAAACACCGCAAAAGCCGTCAGCAAAAAAAAAAATATTTAAAAATCATTGCGATTTTATAGCCGCTCCAAATATGACGTGCAAATTTTACTAGAATTTTATAAGCTAGTTGACTGCATACCTCAAAAATTTCTAAAAATCCTGGTTAAAAAGCTCGAAATTTATATAAAAAATTTTGGAATTTTTCAAAGCTCTGCACAAAATTTGGTGCGAAAGAGGAGCAGCCACGAAGTCGTCAAATATCAGATCATTTACGCCACGAAATGGCAAAAAACACACACAAAAAATAACAGGGCATAAAAACAAAAAATGCTGTATACATAAATGAAAATAAATAAATTGAATGTGTTGAGAGCATCCTCAGAGTAGCGTTGGCATCGCGACAACTGTGGTAGAGCGCGCTGATTGGAAGCTATGATGCTGACGATGATGACCGAGATAAGATCTGTGCCAGGATATGTTCAAGTTAATTGTCAAGGGGAAGCAATTGCCATTTATTTATCGATGACGTTTTAGCAGTAAAATACCACTCAGGCAATGCTGATAAGCAGTAATTTGACGCTAACGGTGCTTGGTGATGGTGAACACTTAACAGTCGGCATGATAAGCGTAAATGAGTAAACAATATTTTGGAGGCAGATATTTTTACGCATACATACCCAGAGCACGTACATTTGTACCCTGGTAGTCAGCTGATTAAGTTGAGGACATTTTGACCAGTTTTGGCTTTTTTTTTAATTAATGTTATATTAGTTTTTTATAAAAGTCTAGCACATTACATAACTAGCACCATAAAAATCCACATCTCAATCTTTCACTAAAAAATATATATAAAAAATGTTTTAAATTTTTGTACGAAATTTTAATTGTGGATTTTATGGTTGCAGGCCATGTAACGTGCTAGACTATTATAAAAAAAATGTATACATTAAATAAACAAAAGAAAAATACAAGAAACTGATCAGAATGTCACTTAACTTAATCAGCTGACCACAAATGTATGTACATGCATATGTATGTAAATATGTACGTATAAAGTGCGAGAACTTTACAGTTAACCGTCGGTATGTCATTGTACATACCTTAAGCTAAAAAAAAAATAAATTTTGTTTTGTTTTAGTTTAGGGTCGCTTTTTTACATTTACACGTTTTGTCTTCGGCATTTAAAGGCAGATCTTAAAATTTGATTTATCGAACCTACTGTACTCGAGGTGACAATTATTCATTGACCAAAGTTCATTGATCTCAAGTAGCCCGTTCTAGGACTTACCCATCAGATCTCAGTTCTTATCGGCCTATCGTGCCGCCCTAATGTCAGTAAATGAAAGCTCGTCAAAAATCTAACGTGCCACCCTAATGTCAGTAAATGAAAGCTCGTCAAAAATAATTAAAATTTCCAAGAGTACATAGTCTTGCAAAAATACTTTAGGGTCCGGGATGCACGGCGAACTTTTTTGTTTGCTATTAAGGTGTTACGGCCTAATGTGCATGTTTGTCCCGAGCAGTTGTTTTGTTTGATAAAATAAAGATACTTTGCAGCTGCTCGGAAAAGAAAGAAAACAATAATTTTTGCATTAACAATGCATGGCGATAAGAGTGAAGTGCACTCTTCGTTTTATGTGACCTATGGGATGTTACACATTCTTTTTTTTTTAGTAGGTATTTAGGTTTAAATATATGTACGCACATTATGGTGGTCCAAAAATGCTTGTGAAAAAGTAAAGGCGGAATTTTTATGTTCTCACCCCCTAGGATTGATCTATACCAGCGTTGGGCAGGGAGAGCTTTTACTCCGCTCACCTATATACAAAATGTATAGAGAGCTTAAAGTTTTAAAGCTTAAGTTTTTCGATCGAAAAATATTAATTTTCAAGAATTCTATACCATTTCTACGAAAAATTTAATTTTTCTCATATAAAAATACATGGAAAACTGTGAGCTCTGTAAGCGACCTCTAAATATTTTTTGATTTCAAAATAAAAAATAGGGGTATACTTTTTTCGATATAGAACAATCCTAGAGGGTGAGAATTGCCAGTAGCTTATTTAAGGAATGAAACTAAAAGCCTGGTTATGACAACTTAACTTAACTTAGCGGAACTTATAGCTCAGTTATGCATACTTGGCGTTGCATGCAGGCCGTCACAAAAGGATTCTGTTAAATGAGCTTTGCGTGTAAGCGGTTACCTAACGCATAGCATTACATACATACATATGTAGAAGAATGTTGGTTTTTTATTTCTACGTAAAAATTGCATAGCGGTGCAAAGTAGTACAAAGTATGCTATAAGTATAACTGAGCTTTTACAACTTAGAAAATTAAACTGAAACATATTTCGACATGGCATTAAGTTAAGTTAAGTTGCGGCTGTTTTCATTTATAAGCAACATTCATTTAAGAGAATTTTTAAGTGAGAGCCTGTAAGTTACGTAAAGTTGCCCTAATCAGACCATAAGATGTTATTTAAATAAAGATGGATATATTCTAGCAAGTGTGATTCCTTTGCAAAACCTAGCCGCATTCAGTTTATTTCGTTTGCGGTTATTCTTTCTCGACTTGGTAACACCAACGTAATTTAATTTTTGACAAACACTGTTGAAAGTACTATAAACATTAAAAAGGAGAATAGTTGTAATTCAGTGCTTTTCAAATCCAATAACGCAAACACTTCCTGAATTTATATACTAGGTAATTCAGATATAGGCTGCTTTCGAAATCGCATCGTAATTTTTTTCACAAATAGGCTGAGTTCCAAATTGCATCATTGGAAAGTATCAGCCTTTTATTTCTAAACCACAACTGATGGAGATGTCCAATATGCGCAACCACATTCAAATGCCGAATTGTAACTAAGTATAGTTTAGAAATAAAAGAGGCTAATGCCTTGCTGTGATGCAATTTGGAACTCAGCCCTACTTAGATAAGACGTAATTGTTGTTTCCGCAGAAAGACCATAAATGGGTGCAGTCAAACCATCGAAATCAAAGCAAATAATTCAATGGAATTTATATTTATAAATGGTTTGGAAGTGACTTTCAAAAATAATAACACCTAATTTGGGTATAAAATTTGACGTCACATCCGAGTTGAATTTTGATCAGTTCTGATCAAAGATGATTTTACACAGCCACCGCCGGCAATGAGATGGCGTCTCTTCTATCTAAGCATTATAAATGAACAAATGTTCGAGAATGCTCCCTCGGCTACGAGAAATACGTATGTATGTAAGTTGGGACGATTTCAGTGTAAAGTAAAAAGGCTCAAGGTATGCAAATAACTGTTTATCACACCGCCATTAAAAGTAAATCAGTTAAAATGCCAGCAGACAAAATGCTTGTGAAATGATTCGTGCTTTTGTTTGCCAAAGAGAAAAAGCACCAGAAACCGTGTGTGGGCCGTGTAAAATAAATAAACAGCAAGGCTTTAGTAAACGAGCCAAGGATGCGGAGACGGTTACCGCAAACGCAGCGGCAAACGAAACAATTTTCCAGCATCAATGGCACTAAGATAACTCACATGCTGATAGCGAAGAAATAATCACGCGCTAGCAGTCAAGGGACAAAAGAGGGAACAGCAAAGGACAGGAAGGAGAAAATTGAAAAGGTTAAATAGAAAATAGGTACTAAGCAAAGGTAATAACAACGGCGAAGGAGGGGACGAAAAGAATGATGATAAAGCGAATTGTTGGTAAGCGAGAGGTAACAGCATGGACCGGAAACGCTTGGCAGGCAGTTGGTCGACGAAATTTGCTGCGCCATAAACGTTTTAATTTCCGCGCGTCCTGGCAAACCACTTACGCCCCGCTCCCGCAACCACACAAACCAACATTCATAAGTATACACGATACAAACGGCGGCTCTGTTTATCTATAAAGCTTTGTAAATCCGGCAAAATGACAAGACATTTTTGCGGCCCTTTGTTGGCGAATGCCCTTTCGCACCTTTAACTATGCAATGCTAATAATAAATAGGCATTCAGTTCGCGGGCGGCAAAGCAATGTTGAGCAAAGTGTTAATAAGAGTTTACTGGTAGCATATGGTTCTCAAGGTCACACCACCCGTTCATCGGCGAATCGCTTGGTTGGTTGATTAACAATAGCCAAAGTAAAATGAAGAATACACGCTGAAGATGAGGCGAAAGTTCGTCATACTTAAACACCAAAAGATTTTTCTTTATAGTTTGCTTCACAATTGCCATTGTTGTTTAACAAACAATAGATCGAGTGGGTGAGTGGGTGAATGAGTCTTTATGGTGCTGCTGAACTCAGTTTTCACACTTTTGACAAAAAGTATTCCCCCACACACACACACAGACACGTAAGCAAAGGAATTAATATTAGCTTATTGTAAAGGGGTAGATTTAGCGAGTTCTTATACAAGCACCTGCATTCATACATATATGTATGTACATTAGGGTGATCCAAAAAAAACAGTAAAGCTGTAATTGTCATGCTCTCACCCCTAGGATTGTTCTATATCGAAAAAAGTATACCCTTATTTTTTCTTTTGATATCAAAAAATATATAGAGGTCGCTCAAAGCGTTCGAAGTTTTCCATGTATTTTTATATGAGAAAAATTAAATTTTTCGTAGAAATGGTATAGAATTCTTGAAAATTAATATTATTCGTTTGGAAAACTCTAGTTCTCTTCAGGAGACTTTCATTAATAATACCCAATTGTTTAATTAGCCATTTTTTTTAATACTAACGATGTTTTATTGGGCGCCCCATTGCATTTTTCGGGGTTTTTGTGGGTTTTTGGCGGACCTATGCGATGCAAAAATGGCTAAATAAACAATTGGCTATTATTACTGGAAGTCTCCTGCAGATAAACAGAGTTTTCTGGTAGAAAACTAAGGATTTTTAACTATTCTATACCATTTCTACGAAAAGTGGTTTTTTCTCCATATAAAATACATGGAATACTTTGGGCGCTTTGAGCGACCTCTAAATATTTTTTTGATTCAAAAAAAATAACGGTATAGTTTTTTTCGTTATAGAACTATCCTAGGGGGTGAGAGCATAAAAATTCCGACTTTACTTTTTGACATGCATTTTTGGACCATCCCTAATGTACATACATATGTACATGAATTGCGACGCTCTACTCCTTTTATAAAAGCATATATTTTTATACATCTGGGTATATCTTTTACGAGTGTATTCTACTCATTACTCACTTGACGACTGCTTTGTACTTCACCGCTGGTTTATTCACGCTGCAGCAGACTGTACGCAATATTAGCAACGCCTTACCCCTTTACGAGCGGACAGTTTTTTTGTCTTGGGTATTGTTTATTGTATTGAGGATTTTTGCAGTTGTTGTTTGTGTTCATTATGTATTTTTCTATTTTTGCCGATGTTTTTTTTTGTGGTCAAATTCCCAGATTTTACCGTAGCATGGCTTTAATTATACCTCCTCTGAGTTTTTTTCGCATGTTCTTATACCTTTTTCGATGTGTTTGTTTAGGTGCGGATTTTCTTGAAAATTCTACAGCAAAAACCATAAAAATATAATTCCTAAACTTTATGCAAAACTCGAGAAAAATCAGCAAATTTTCATCAAAATTTTCAACGTTGTAATCAGATTTTTTAGAATTTGTTTGAGTATGCAGGTTTGTAGCCCAATCAATTTTATTATAATAAAGTGCAAGTTTTAAGTACTCGTAGCTAGGAGTTACCGTTGATTTTTGGCAAAAAAAATCTAAAAAATCTGATTAAAAAGTTGAAAATTTTTATGAAAATTTGCTGAATTTTCGCGAGTTTTGCACAAAGTTTAGGAATAACATTTTTATGTTTTTTGTTGTTGAGTGAACCATATTTTTATATAAAATTGGAGGAAAAATTTTAGAAAAAAAATTTTTGCATATATTGTGAAAAATTTGTTTCGGCAGTGTACATATTTATCTCTGATGGGAAATAATTACCGTCTTGGCCACTGTTTTGGCGGGCAGATGTGCATACAATCTTGATATTTTTTTTAGTTTTTAATATTTTTGAAAATATTAATTTTTTGAACGGTGGCGTGTCAAATGAAAACTTTTGGCTGCTTCTCATCATTAGCTCTGATCCAATACTTTTCGTGCAAAATCCTGTAAAAATGTCAAACAGCAAAATTACTCTCTCGGGTAAAATCTTGCAAGTTGCAACTTCATTCTCTACAGAACTCTCTAAAAATCGCTCTCATTTACAGGATTTTGGAGTACTGGATCATTTTTCCTGTAACTTCCTGCAAGTTCGTGGAAAAACCTGTAAGTTCATGGAGTACTGGAGTACCAATACTTTTCGTGAAAAATCCTGTAAAACTGTCAAACAGCAAAATTACTCTCTGAAGTGAGAGTAAAAAGTGAGTAACGACAAAAAGTACGGGAACAAAAAATCCATTTTTCCCATGATACAAAAAAGAAGGTATTTTCATTGTCACTTTTCGGACGCCATATTAATTATTTACAAAATTAAAAGGAAATTTGTCTTTGGAAGTAAGTAGTTAGAGGGCAGCCCAATGCCTTAAGTGCAGCTTGTCTGTCACCGCAGACATGTAAACTCATTCCCCACCACCTCGCCCCACTCAGTGTTATACCGGCATCCGTTTCTTTCTAGTCCGCAGGTGGCCTTTAAGGCTTCCCTACGTATGAAGTAACAAAGTAGTTCTTTGAAGTTTTGCAAGCAGACTTCCCACGCTCTTGATTGAGAATCTGCTCCACCATATCTGTTTACATTGCCAAAATGCTGCCAATTCTTTAGAAGTTTTGTATTCCACGTTGGATTTCCACGATAGTTTTGTATACAGAATTACTTATAGATACTTGACTTCGGGAGAATTCTGAATTTTGGCTCCTTTAATTGTGAGGGAAATGAGACCATTCGGACTATGCTTTAATGACGAAATAGCTTACAATACATCTTTTTCGGACTATTAAAAAAAATAAGAGTTTTGCTATGCAAATATATTTACTTTGTTTAAAATAAAATGAAAAAAGTTGTTTAATAAATAAATGTAAATAAACTGGATTTTATTTTATTTCCTCATCTCTGCACATCGATATTATTCAAAGGATCTTTTAAACGCTCGAGAAAAACGTTCAAATTTGATTATCGAACACATCAACTTGTAATTTTTTATGCAAATTTTACTCTTTTATTAAATCCCAAATATTTAAAATAAAATCTCCCCTCTCAAAAAATTTCAATGTAGCAAAGCTATGCTTAATGTTTACATCTGGAGAAATGACAAAAATCTGCTTTATAATCAAAAAATAGTAGTAATGAAACTACCTTCTTTTTTGTATCATGATTTTTCCTGTAAAAACGTCAACCAGTGATTGCTTGCCACTTTTCATGATTTACTTTTAGTGAAAAATCCTGTAAAACTGTCAAACAGCAAAATTACTCTCTGAAGTGAGAGTAAATAGTGAGTAACAAGAAAAAGTACGGGAACAAAAAATCCATTTTTCCTGTAAAAACGTCAACCAGTGATTGCTTGACACTTTTCATGATTTTACCAGAAGAAAAAGTTCGGGTAAAATCTCGCCACTTCATTCTCTATACAACTTTCCAAAAGTCGCTCTCATTTACAGGATTTTGGAGTACGGGAACATTTTTCCTGCAACTTCCTGCAAGTTCGTGTAAAATCCTGTAAGTCCATGGAGTACTGGATCAGAACTATTGTGTACAATGACCTTCCACAATGTTTCTGATTGGCTGAAGCAGAAAGCTTTCTCATACAACTCTGCGCTGAACTGGTTTTCAAACGAGTTAAATGATTTAAGTGGTTAAATTTTCCAACAACAATTGCATGCGATGTAACTTGTTTATAAACACATTTTGTTCATTTAACTGGTTCAAGCCCATTTAACATGTTTAACAATTTGAACGTAATATAAGGAGCACATAGGAAAATAAAGCAGAAACATTTTCGCAGAAGAATAATCTAACTTCCGCTACTAACAAAGGATGAAGAGTTATTTTATTATTCTAGTATGTAAAGTGGCACGTAGGCAAATGTGCATATGTACATATATTACTCCAAATCTTTGATGCGAATCACGTACTATTTATGTAAGTACATATACATTAAACTCCTGCGCAATTCCATTTCAACGGCCTAACAAGACATCCGATCGCCGCGCAAATACTTAAGTGTCCGCATATATTTTTTCTTGTCACTTGCTCTGTCGCTTCACTGCAGCAAAACCAAGTTGTGGGGAAACCCTGACGATATGCGTACAATTGAAACCATGGGTTTGAAGATAGCGCAAATTGTTGTGAAAATTTCAATTTCATGTTAAATATATTTATGTATGCATGTACATACGTATATATATAAAAATGTAGTTTCGATTTAAAAAAATCGGATAAAGTTTTTCTTTCGCCATATATACACCTCTGACTTTAGTATTTATTAAAAAAAAACTCAATGGAATTCAAAAACTATCTCTTGCATTTGGTTTTACTCAATACCGATTTGAGCTGTCGCACAGTGTTATCAAAAAAAAAAAAAGCTATCAATGGGTAGGTTCAGAAGGCGCAGCAGTTGAACGCAACCTTTGCTAAAAAAAATCACTGATCGTTCTGAACGACTTCATACATTAGCTGTCAAATTCAACTCTCAAAGGTATACACCAACATGTTATCTCAAATGATCAGAAAAATATTACGATCATCTAACACGCAACTATTCAGTTGATCAGAAGTACGCAACAACGCATTCAGAAGGTGCAATCGCACCAGTTACTGAGCTGTTGCGCCTTCTGAACGTGCCCAATGAAAATTCGTTTCTCTTGAAATCAAGTTATATATAAAGGCTCTCAAGAAAAACTAAAAATTCATATACAATTTCGCACAATAAATGGAAAATAAATTTGGTTCTATAAAAAATTTCTTAAATCAGTATGCAGCTGTAAGAAAAAAAATGCTCGTACATCTCGGCGCTACCATGTCCAACTAACGAATGTGAAAATCGGCACTTTTCAAAATTTTGATTTGCCACTAATAATTTTATTTCGTATAGCAGCATTGCTTAAGTTATTGTTTTTGACAACTTGTTTGTTGGTTAATGACTGCAAATAGTTTTATAGAAAATTAGAGACGAGAAATAATACTTTCATAAAAATTTAAGTACATACATAGATTTAAAAAGCTGCTTGAATACAAAAGTTTTATGAAAATG